TTCACACCCGGCGTCTAGGTGTCATTATGAACAGAGCCCCTCTCTCAGAAGTGTCATGGTTGAGAGGACCTATTGCATGGTCGCCCTGTTTCAGACGCACCTGCAGGTGGTCTCTTCCAGCTCTGCAACTCTGCTTTCAGAACGGCCAAGCCACTGTTTCACCTTACCCGGACTAGAAACTCAATTCGTATCTCAACAAGTGTCAGGGACAAAGTAAGCGTAGAGATAAATTTTTCCAGCCAAGAGTCTCCGAGAATAGTCTCCGAGCCTGGTGTGGCCACCATGCTGTGCCGCTTGCTACCTTTCCCTGATGCCATCAGTTCTGGGGCCACCAGTTCACCCGTTACCACCCATGACAGAAGAGCAGGCACCGGCCCCTCGCATCCCCGCTCGTGAGGCGAAACTACGCTGGGCTCAGTCTAAGCACCTATGCTTATTATATTATACACGCGCATCGGTAAAACCAGCACTGGACGCCGCCATCCGTGGAGGGAAGAACAAGGAGCGGGATTGAGCTCTCCGGAGATGGAGGGGCGTTGAGTGAGAAGGCACCGAGGAGCAAGACAGCCCCTGTGACATCTGGGGTCCCTGTGACATCCTGAGCGTATGCTCCCCCTCTGCCCCGACAGTGGCTTGAAGACGGCTGTGCATCAGCGCACAACCAAACCTTTCCTACCCCAAGCCCTTGTGCATCCGCTCAGACCCATTTAAGCACCAGCTACAACCAATCACACCACCTCCACAGTCTGGGGTGGGTGGGTGGTCCTGAGGAGGAGGAGGAGGAAGAGAGAAGTTTATGCCAAGCGTGTGTCTGCCCAGATGCGAAGAGGTCAAAGCACAGAGCCTGGTGAAGACCGAGAGCCAGCCCTCTTATCATGGAAATAGAAAGAGAGAAAGGCTGGTCAAACATGAAGCACCTATAAAATTATATTGGTCCATCGTAACCATGGAGCACTCACACAAACACACGCAAATCCGGCCACTCATCCCTTGCCCCTTGAGTGCCTTTTTATTTTCTATAATTAATCGGGCAAGGGAGGAACTTGGGAAAAGTTCAACCGTGGTCAGAATTTGCAGGCTTCTCTCTAGTAATAACCCCCGGGGAGGGGTGGGGCGGACGGAGGCGCAGCTGTCGGTGTCCAGTTACCTGAAGCATGTTGAGGAGCAGGCTCCGGAACTTGGTCCCCTCAACCATGAAGAGCGCCATCTTGTCGCAAAGCTTGGCGGCGGTGAAGGCGAAGCTGCGGTCGGACACGGCCTTCTGGTAGATGGTGCGGACAATCTCGCCCAGCATCTCCTCGGAGTTGGTGGAGTTCTGGGCCTCCTCCATGAAGGTGGTGAGCTTGGCGTCCACGTCGCTGCTGTTGTTCCGCATGCTGTTCAGGATCTCGATCAACTTGTCCATCTTGTTCTGCTGAGGGCTGGTGGTCTCCACTGCCACTTCATCCTAGGGGTGTGGGAGATAAACCGAGTTGCGCCTGAGCCGAGCCGAGGTTTCTGTGT